AGATATATGCTATTTTATTCAACAAGCAACTTAACTCAAATAATGATGATGATGTGTGCACTAGGCATCTCTTTCCAGCTGTCTCCAGGCTGTTGTGCACGAGCTGAGCGCCTGCTGTTCAAGTCACGCACAATGCACTTTTGCAGCCAAGCACATATTTTTGTGTCATTTGAAGGGAAAATGGGTGCAATTTAGCATTCGAGTCACTTTACAAAAGTTGCTCAAAGGTGCCAAATATATATTTTTAAATGGCTAGATTTTTTTCTATGTGCTGTGGAAAAAACACGTTGCCAGGGTAGTCTGAAAGGTAGCTGAATCGTCCCAGCCGTCGGAGCTCTTTGACCTACGTGTATTGAGATGGAGTAATGGTTATAACATTGTACAACAATTATTACCCCAAACTAACGGTAAAACACCAGGACACAACAATTAGTGACAGATAAACAATTTGTAACAATAAGATTTATTGCTTTTTTAAAATTGTATATGTCGTATGACCAATACATTTAAAGCTTCTTTGTCTGAAAAGTTGACATATTTAATAAAGGCTCATGAATGTGTCCTTGTGTTTCATTATTAAAAGATAAATGTTCATTACAGACACCTGGTATTTCCATTACACAACCCTGATTTATCGTAGGTACCTGGAATGGATTAATGGGCCATTTTAAGGTTTGACTCGCTTCCTCTGACTAAATAAACAATACTATACGTTAGAGCATCTTTACAAAGGCTTGTGTGTGTTTTTTTATGTTTTAAGTTCTCCCAGATAGAATTGATCGTCGTGGCGCAGGGGTTAGAGAAGGTGCGCTGGGAAGCACGCGGTTGTTGTTTCGATTCCAGGCTGCCCCATGTTCCATGTCGAAGTGTCCCCGAGCAAGACACCTAACCCCTAATTGCTCCCCGGGCGAAAATGTGAAAAAAAGCCATGGGTTTAAAGTGTAATGTAAGTCGCTTTGGATAAAAGCGTCTGCTAAATGACCTGTAATGTAATGTAATGTAATTGTAGGTGCCTGGAATGGATTAAGGGCCATTTTAAGGTTTGAGTCTCTTCCTCGGATTAAATAAACAATAGTATAAGTTAGAGCATCTTTACAAAGGCTTGTGTGTGTTTGTTGATGTTTAAGTTCTCCCAGATACAAATGATCAGCTCCTCACCAGTTCTTCCTGAAGCTTTATCCACCAGTGCTGATGAGTGGACTGTGAAACAATTCGTCCTGGTTGTAAGGATCACGGAGGGGGGCCCAGAGAGTATGCTCATCTGATTTTTTTGGGAAAACCGTAGCACACGGAGTAAACCCACTAAAAAAGATTCAACCAGTTTAACAGAACGACAACCATCCGACGGCACGGCCATAGTGTAAACTACCAAATTATGTCTTATCTTAACTTGATTACATTAGTCTGATTGATTTAAAGTTTTTTTGGGAAAACCGTAGCACACGGAGTAAACCAAACCAAAAACGTTTAGCCAGTTCTTCACTTCAGCTCCCACTTGAGGTCCTGGGTGATGATGGAGCCCAGGAAACGGAAGGAATCCACAATAGTGGCGGGGGAGTCACACAGGGTGATGGGGGAGGGTGGGGCTCTGTTCCTCCGGAAATCCACAACCATCTCCACTGTCTTTAGAGCGTTGAGCTCCAGGTTGTTCTGGCTGCACCACGACACCAGATGGTCAGACTCCCACCTGTAGGCGGACTCATCCCCACCAGAGATGAGTCCAGTGAGGGTGGTGTCATCCGCAAACTTCAGGAGCTTGACGGACTGGTGATTGAAGGTGCAGCTGTTGGTCTACAGGGAGAAGAGCAGAGGGGAAAGAACGCAGCCTTGGGGGGAACCGGTGCTGATGGTCCGAGAGGCTGGGACATGTTTCCCCAGCTTCACGTGCTGCTTCCTGTCAGACAGGAAGTCTGTGATCCACTTGCAGGTGGAGTCGGGCACGTGCAGCTGGGAGAGTTTGTCCTGCAGCAGAGACGGGATGATGGTGTTGAAAGCAGAGCTGAAGTCCACAAACAGGATCCTGGCGTAGGTTCCTGGGGAGTCCAGATGCTGGAGGATGTAGTGGAGGGCCATGTTGACAGCATCATCTACAGACCTGTTGGCTCTGTAGGCGAACTGCAGGGGGTCTAGGACGGGGGGTGAGGGACTTCAGGTGGGTCAGGACTAGCCGTTCAAAAGACTTCATGACTACAGAGGTCAGGGCGACGGGCCTGTAGTCATTGAGTCCTGTGATCCTGGGCTTCTTGGGAACAGGGATGATGGTGGAGGCCTTGAAGAAGGCTGGTATGTGGCATGTCTCCAGGGAGGTGTTGAAGATGTCAGTGAACACCGGAGACAGCTGGTCAGCACAATGCTTCAGGGTGTGAGGGGAGACGGAGTCCGGCTGCCTTGCCGGTCAACGTCTCTCTCCAGAATAGAGAGGGTCGTTGCTGGTGGGGGAGGGGAAGGTGATATAGATGAAGAGGCGTGAGCACCTGATGGGCTGGGGGAGGGAGGGGTAGGGGACTGGGGCAGGTTGGTGGAGCTGTGGGGGATGGGATCAGGACCTTGTCTTTCGAATCTGCAGTAGAACTCATTCAACTCGTCTGCCAGGTGGAGGTCATTCATGGAGTGGGGGGTTTTTGGCTTGTAGTTAGTGAGGTGTTTGAGGCCTCTCCAAACCGAATCAGAGTCACTTGCTGAGAACTGTTGTTGGAGTTTCTCAGAGTACAGTCGTTTAGCATCTCTTACCGCCTTGCTAAACGTATTTTGACTCTGTTTACAAGTCTTCGGCGATCTTCCCCCAATTCCTTCTGTACAAGTTTACTCTGAATGTTTCTCTCATCGTGTACGGCCTCGACCTCTTCCCATACACTCGGTCTTCTCCCTAGAACATCCTGGTATTCATCCTTTGCCAGGTTTCTTCTTCCCTCATCGCCCCTCTGCAGACAACCTGTTTCCACAGAGGACTCTGTTGGGTTGATCAGCCTTCTGTACTGAGTGCCAGTTTGTGTTTTCGTCCTCACCCCTTTTTGTGGGGGAGTTGGACGTAGTTTGCCCAAGTCATTTTGGCCCGGTGGAACCCAAGGTCTGCGCAGTGTCTCTTGTGATATCTGCTGTTCCTTTTGTCGCGGGTTGATCAGCCCTCTGTAGCGACTGGCTCTATTTGCATTGGTCCTCTCCACTTGGGGAGGAGTTGGGTGTTGTGGTCCCATGACCTTGTGGCCCTGGGTGGACACCTTGAAGTTGTCCAACTCTTTCACTGTCTCAATTACAACAGTTCCCTTCTCCCAAGGTCTGAGCAGTGTCTCTTGTGATATCTGCTGTTGTCGAAGCTTGAGTAGTCGATTTCCCCCCAATTCATTCTGTTTCCTCTGAATGTTTCTCTCATCGTGTAGGGCCTCAACCTCTTCCCATAAACTCGGTCTTGTCCCCAGAAGATCTTGGTATTCATCCATTGCCATGCGTTTGTGAAGAATTCGAGGTAGTTTTTCCATTTTGAGACGTCGATCTTCCCCCAATTCATTCTGTACAAGTTTACTCTGAATGTTTCTCTCATCGTGTACAGCCTCGACCTCTTCCCATACATTCGGTCTTGTCCTCAGAAGATCTTGGTACTCATCCTTTGACATGCGTTGGTGAAGAATTCGAGGTAGTTTTTCCATTTTGAGACGTCGATCTTCCCCCAATTCATTCTGTACAAGTTTACTCTGAATGTTTCTCTCATCGTGTACGGCCTCGACCTCTTCCCATACACTCGGTCTTGTCCTCAGAACATCCTGGTATTCATCCTTTGCCAGGTTTCTTCTTTCATCATCGCTCCTCTCCAGACGACTTGTTTCCACATACAAACATAGTTTGCCCAAGTCATTGTGGCTCGGTGGAACCCAAGGTCTGCGCAGTGTCTTTTGTGATATCTGCTGTTCCTTTTGTCGCGGGTTGATCAGCCCTCTGTAGCGACTGGCTCTGTTTGCATTGGTCCTCTCCACTTGGGGAGGAGTTGGGTGATGTGGCCCCATGACCTTGTGGCCCTGGATGGACATTGTGATATATTCCAGGTGGTTCTATTCACTTTTATATAATGTTATCCCAGTGTTATTCCAGCTGTTGAATTTACCGTGAGTTCTGTAGTTTCGAGTGTCCAAATATTGAAGATTAAAGTCTAAAATATGGAGTGTGTCTCTTGTGTGAGTGTGTCTCTTGTGTGTGCCTCCTTCAGACTGAAGAATGTTAATGACTTCCAGGCATTAGATTTGAGAGACTGATGACTTCATTGGATTCTATTTCTAGTCATCTTTCACCTGTGATCATGTGACCATCATCGCGTGACGCACACAACATTTCGTGTGCGTCACGCGATGGTGATCATGTGACCATCATCGCGTGACGCACACAACATTCCGTGTGCGTCACGCGATGATGATCATGTGACCATTATCGCGGTCACGCGATGATGATCATATCATCGCATATGGTCACGTTTGCATGTAATTTGTATTCATTTGGAACGAAGAACATTGCTTGCGTGTGGTGCTATCTATGCCCAGTAGGTGGCAGTGCAGCGCTGTGGTTACGTTTTATAGAGAGACAGTTCTCTTTTGGCGCTTAATAAACTTCTAGATGTCCCATATCTCACTGCTTCAATTGATCAAATGTCCGATAATGAATAATAGATACACAGGGACCAGCCATACACATTCACACACACATAATAAAACTCCTAGTTCTATATGGTCATCTACACATACATGTATACACATACATAAGCGCTCATACATCCTGATAACTATTCATTTGTATCAATTAGACTCTTTGGGCTTCTTTTTATCTACTTATTTTGAGATCATTATTTTCGTCAGCAAGATCTCATTGGATGATGATGCATCCATGAAGCCGACTGCCGGCTAGCACATTTAAAGAAATATAATCTGATTGATTAGAGTGATAAGGCACCTAAAATGAGCCCATACATTTTCTACACTTGTCTGGGATACTTTGCTCGTGGCCCTCGCAGTGGGGCGCTGCCAGTTTTTGCCATGATTATTTGATTCAATTCAAATTTCCTCAGAGGGCTTTACAGTCTGTACACATGTGACATCCTCTGTCCCGAAACCTTCACATCGGCACAGGAGAAACTCCCCCAAAAATAAAAAAGCATTCGATAATAAAGGGAAGAACCTTTAGAGAGACCGAAAGCGCTTGATGTACAGAATGAACAACGTAAAAGACAATACGTTCAATTAAGAAATGATGCTTTAGATGCTTTCATGATTTGCTCGGTTTGACCGAGGGAACAGAAAACTTGGTCGTGCTAATTAGTGATCGACTCGTGCTAACTAACGGATCATTTGATTTCATTTAAAAGCAAACCTGGCTCCAAACAGTGCAAGTCATCCGTGTAATGTAATGACCAAGAATGTGTGGAATGACTGAGTTGTTCCCTTCGCCTCTGACAGACGAGAGGCTCCTTGTTATTTTTTCAGTATGGATTCGTTTTGCGCTCATGGTATGCAGCGTTGTTGTTCTGTTTGGTTACTGCTACTCCTCATTAACCAACCACACATACACCATATAGTCTCATTTGAAAAAGGGTCAGCGAGTGGTTTGGTAGTTCCAATGTAGGATCTCGCTATTCCATCGGTGAGGTTACAGATTACAACAAATCCAAACCTTTACCGTCCTTCCTTCAAGCTCTAGAGCCGATGTAGTGCTGCTTTTATTTGACAGCGATGTTCCATTTAATGTTTACTTCTTTTTGGCAAAAAGACAAGAAAAATGTGATGTATGAAAGCTATTTTTTCATACTTTAACTGTATCACTTCACTTTAACTGAAGTCAATCCCACATTCCATGTTGTGATTGGTTACTGATTCCATACAATTTACAGACATTTTCACATTAAATCACACATATGGAAAGATAAAAGGAGACAGCGACAAACACAAATCATCTGTAGGCTTAAGTAGCCGTTGCTAAAGCACCTAGGAATCTCATGTGCTCATACTGACACGGCGAAACTCCACCAGCAGCTTCTTCAGGAGAACTCACAGGGCTACTTGGTGATGACATCATCTTTATTGGTCTCCGATAGGAAGACCACCTGACCTGACGTACCAAAGCCAACTCGGGCTCTGTGTTAGATAGAACCAGGCGATGCCATCATATCACAGCAGTCAACATTAGACATATTCAGATCGTTTTACAGGACCAAGTATGAACAACCCTTCATGCATAAAGTCTGACTTTAAAAAGGCTTCATCTCATTGTGGGGTCTGCACCTGCAACAGTCCTGTAACATGTCATTCAATTACTTTTCATAGATCACCACACTGAGATGAAAACGTGTGTTTACCCGCCTATTATCTGGTGCCTTCTGCTAGAGGATAAAGCTGTTCTATAGTCAACACGTGTTGCTCTTCACTGAGGTTCCTTCCTCACATGAACGAGGGTCTAAGGACGGAGGGTGTCACATGCTTTAAAGGTAAGCAGGCCGTCACAATGGCAACAACCCTGCTGTTTGTATTGGGATGTGGCACATGGAGAGAACGATGCCATCTCCATCCATGAACACAGAGCATCACCTTTCTGTTGGTTTTATTACACTAAGGAACCTTTAAGTTACCCTGTCACATACAGCATTACATACAAACGGTATTCTGGTTTCAAGAGAATCATATGTGTATATATATACTGTGTGTATGTATGTATATATATATACAGAGAGAGATATATATACATTTATTTTAGTTACAAAACTACTAGGATACAAAAAATTCATATTCTGGATTAAGATAAATTTGCTACGCTAAATTCCAGGAATGTTTTGGTTACCTACAAGAGCAGTCTCCTTGGTGCAAGTCCTATATTTTCATTTATTAATTTAAGATGCCTTTTGTTGGCCTCTATTGCTCAACCTGGTGAATACCATGCAACAGCATTAGCCGTTAGCACAGAGCCTACTTTTACTCAACATACTGTAGGTAAGTGTTAGTAGCTGATCCTTGGATCCTATAAGGATTCTTATTGGAGTATTTGCGCATCTTTAGTGCACATGGGACGATGTCAAGGCAGGTTTTTTCTTTATTTGGCTTTTGCCTCTTAAATTCCATAAAGGCTTTGTGTTATGCAAGCTGTAGCTTTACAGCTCGACGATTGAAGCGTGGGGGCTCTGTAGAAGCTCAGGCAGTGGACTGGTAGGATGTACAACTATCCCTGATGCCCACCAGTTCACAGCTCTTCTTCCACAGCTCGGCCTGGAGCTCCGAGTCGTAGGAGCTGTCGGAAGACTGAATCCTGTGGCTGTTGTACAGGTAACAGGCCCCCACCCCCTCCAACTCAGAGGAGGCTGCAGCATAGATGGATATGGAGGCTCCCTCTGCTGGAGTCTGAGAAGAACAAGTCAGAGAAAACAAACCATGGGAGTTTAGTTCTTCAGGACCCAAGCAGATATAAGCAGAGCTAGCCCTCACGTAGACCATCGTCACCTTCTTATCAACAAAGAGCTTTGTTCAGATCCACCAAGCACAGGTCTTTTGTCCACTTGTGACCATGGTTAATAAGGTAAACTGAAGAAGAATGTGAACACTAGCCCTGGCAAGCTAACTGTACTTAGTTCACAAATAACTGCAAGGTTGGGGTTGTATCCACACTGCTGCGATCTGTGGGGTAGAAATGTGGCTTTAGTCCATGCAAGCTGTTGTAAAAGGTGAAGTGAAAAACTTGCTACGCCACCTAAAAAATCAGTTACATGCTATGTTTAGATAAATTAATGAAATTGTAATACCCTCAAATTCTAAATCATATTTTGGACATTGTCATGGTTACGTGACATGCGGCAGCAAAGCGCTGTCCCGTGTGTATCAGGCTCTCACGCTAAACCACTTACCAGGTGACGTCAGTTAAGTCCCTAAGGGTTTAGGTTTAAGGGGGGGAATCGGGACTGGCCCACGAGGTCTGATGCAAGCCTAGCATCAATCAGTTAACGGATAAACAGGAAATATATATACTCTCAAATTCTTTTATGTATTTATGGCATAGAAGACAATATTACAAAAATAAAGATAAATGAATACTTACTGCCATATTGATTGAATGTACAGTATGTTAATGATGACGACTAAATACTAGGGGCAGCGACAACCTACACTTTCTCCCAAAAAGGTGGATTAGACGTTCTGAACAGACACATTGAAAACGTCCAGTCCATGGACTCGGAGGGGAGAAGTGATTCCCCTACACCCTCAGAGACCTACCCTGAACAGTGTCTTGGCCACAGGCTTCTTCATGGCCTGCGCCAGGCTCCACAGGTTGTCGTACAGCGCCGTGTCCACCATGCCGGGGTCCACGGCGTTCACCGTCACCGGGAAACCGCCGGCCGCCAGCTGCTCCTGCAGGTAGTATGTGAAGAGGACCAGGGCCAGTTTGCTCTGGGAGTAAGCGGCGTGGGAGCTGTAGCAGATCCTAGGGGGGGGGGGGCACAACGTGCTGAGCTTTAGCCACAGGGAGGTATGCAAGCAAAGAGTTCACCATGGTGGTTTGAAGGCTTGTTAGAGATGCAAGAGAGCACATCGTCAGACCATGAAAATAAGACAAAAAAAAAGCCTACCAACCACAGAAAGTCCCATCATATTATTACCAAGACCAATAAACAACAATTTCACTTTTGTAAGCTTTCTCCACACTGTCAGAAATAACATCCAGCGGCTACATTCAGACCAGTAGCTCCGTGGGGGCTAAATGTTATCAGCCTCACGCTCACAATTACGTATCAACAAACGTACTGTTCATCGTGTCCGCTGTCTTAGCTGGGTGTGTTAGCATCTCCTTCTCTCGGCTACAGACCGAGGAGGTGTTAGTGTGTGCCGCTCCGCGCGGCTAACAGTGGTTATGGCTGAAAGATATGTGTAAATATACCTGGCAAGGAACACAATTCAGATTTGAATCCGCTGTGACTGAAGTGGTCTGTTAGCACCGTTAGCTGCAAGCCCGCTGGCTCACCGACGCCACCATGAGAGCCGCATGGAGGCGGCTCCTCGATCCCATTTACGCTCTGAATTTGGAATAACAAAAAAGAACAGAATCGCCTCCTGTTCCCCACACCTTTTGTTCAAGTCCTCCATGTCCACCACGCCGGCAAAGTGAGTTGCTGAGGACATGTTAATGATTCTGGAGCAGCGGCCCGGCCGCCCCGACCTCTTCAGCGTGTCTAGCAGCAGGTTGGTCAGCAGAAAGTGGCCGAGGTAGTTGAGCGTGAAGTGGAACTCAAAGCCGTCCTCGGTCTGTCTCTCGGGGACCATCATGGTGCCAGCTGCAGGGGCAGAGATGGGGTGTTAATCAACACCCAGTATGAGCTGACCCCCCTCCTAACTCAATCCCTGGTCCACTTGGCCTACCGTTGTTAACCAGAACGTGGAGCGGGAGGCCGCGGTCGGCGAAGGCCTGAGCAAACTGCCGCACAGACTTCAGCGAGGTCAGGTCCAAGAAGACAAACTCCACTGTGAGCGGAAAAGAGCCACGTTAGCACAGACTCCAGATGAGCCCGTCTGAACTGGTTCTGAGATTAGGATCCGGTTATTCATATCAGAGCAAAGTGCTGGACCACACGAATAAAGACTATAACATATGTGACAAGTCATTTAAAGGTTTGACCTTTTAGTGCGGAGATATTATCCATCTGTATAGTGGTTTCAATCAATATCTCCTTACCTACCCAGCATACTCAGAGCAGCATTCATTAAACAATTACTAATGTATTTGGATTTCCATTTCAGGCTACACTTCTACTTTGTTACATCCATAAGAGAGGTTGGACTATTTAGAATTACTGGAGATTAGTTATATCTTTAAATATTTAACTCATGGAGATCTCGGACTGGATCGTAAAAGGATGTAAGTTATTTTACTTATAGTCATTATATCTGTTTGGAGTGGTGCTCGCTTAAGGGGTAGAATGTGTTTTAGCTGTGGGTCATTCATGGGTCAGTTAGTCACATATGAAATCCATTAAAAGGAACTTACCGAACAACAGGGGGTCAAAGTAGGAACGTGGTGTCCACGAAGCACATAATAATCAGTGAATAATCCCTGGTCTAGCGCTACGTGTGGAGATGAGATGATACATGCTGGACTAGTCATAGAGCACTCCTGTGTTCGGGAGCAAACTCTAATTTAAGGACCTCAGCTTGACTTCATCAGTTTATGAAGAGCTGTCCACTTCCATGAGTCCCGCTTAAAGCTGTTTTCATCAGAGCACTTTGCACTAATTTAGTATTTTAGAGTTGATTTGTAAAATGAAAGAGTTTCACTGGCTGACCATTCATTTCAGGGAAGCACAAACCAGAAAAAATGACTTCACCAACATAAACCCTACAATGACTTTTTACATATATAATAAACCACAAAACACAGCAAATTAATCAAAATTCACTGAATTACTGTGTAGACGTTATATTGTAAATGTCTGTATATTATGTGGCAGGGATATCTACTGATTTGAACATGCTAACGAGCGTGATGGGGAGTCATTGTAGGCATTCTTGACCTGCTGGTAATTGATGTAATTGACGGAACTGATGTTTCCGATTCATAAAAGCATATAGGAGGTAAGTACTTCTTATGATTGACAGGTTCCTCCCTAATTGGCTGCTCTGTGTGTTATGACACACACACACACACACACACACACACAGGTAGAAGATGTGTGCATCATTCAACAGCTGGTAAAAAGATGCAGTCTGTCATTTTCTATCAATATCAAACGAGGATTGGGGAACTTTTCAGACATTACAAATATTGGATTTTAAAAAATGACTTACAGTAACTTAGCCCGAGTCCTGACTATTTAAATTACGGTTGTATTAAAAGGAGAGCTGTGCCCTCAGACAGAGGCAGATTCATGGTTACCTTTTCCCTCAACGCCTTCCTCCTGAAATGTCCTCACGGCTGCTGCTCCCTCTTCCCTCTCGTTTCCAGCTGGAGATGGAGATCAGAGAGACTTCATATCCAGCACAAATCTACTCCAGCTGAAGCTTATGTCGTAACAAATGATTTATTCCTTCTGAAGGTGATTAGCCGTCATCTAAATGGATCCATCAGGCCTTCATTTCAACACTTTGACTACTGATCAAAAGCCAACATCGCATGTCTGAATGTGATGTCAGGTACAGGATTACAAAACATATTTGGCCAGATGACATTAACCCTGCTGCCCCTTTTCAACACGTGCTCCACCTTTCATGTACACAATTTTGCCATCAATCTTGCAGAAATAGAGCAATCATAAAAAGTCTGTGTGAAGCAAAAGTAACATTTTGAATTAGTCTGTTTATTTGTTGTATATGACATGCTAACATTCATTGAGCTACATGATGATGGAAGAACATGTCCCATGTGACAGGGCTGAAGGCGTGTGATTGAACAGTAGCCTACCTATGACCACATGCATGCCAAGGCTGGCCAGGTGTCTTGCCGTCTCATAACCCATTCCTCTGGTGCCCCCTGTCACTACGGCAACCCTTCCATTCTGCCTGGGTAGGACTGTGTGGGAGAGAGCGCATCACATAAAACCATCGTCCTTTATTTTCCATATTCTTATAAATCAGCATTAATATGTTTCAGTGTGAGTAACAGGTGGTGTGGATGTGGTTCCATAGACTCTGGACTACGTCAGGTCAGGAACCGCTAATCTGTAATTAATACAAAAAATAAAAACCTTTCCCCTGGGAGAGATAATTGTGAGCGTATTCATAAAAATGCATCAATGTTACATAAAAAAAAAAGAAAGTCAGACAGCCAGGAAAATGTTGGGGAAAAGTCTTTACTTTCAGATTGCTTTTACATCATAACCTACATAAACATTAAAGACATTAAAGCAATCCCCGTCTATTGTTAGTGCTGAGATATTCATATGCATTTGGTTTTACAAATCCATCCCCAACAGAAAAAACACATGAAAAAACCCTGCAGCTTATTGTTTTAAAAGAGAACTTTTTTTGGTTTCTTATTACAGCTGAAGGGAAAGTGACAGAAACAATGCGCTGAGACGACTCTTAATAATGATGCACTAATTTAAAGACCCTCACCCCTGTGAACTTTCCCTTCCCACATCTACTTGCTTGTCGCTTTGTTAATTATGTATTGTAGTAATGTGGAGACGCTGCTTTCACTGATTATAAAAATACTCACAGAACATCAAGCAGCCGGATGGCTTGTTATACTGAAGAATGTGAGAACCAATCTGAGAAGTCAAGGTAATGGTTTGAAAAGGGAAAAGATGCTTTGCGAGTGATTAGATGTACCGTACCTCCACCAAAAACAGGAGCTGGACTATATCAGAATCACTAACTCCCTCGGGACATTTTACCATTTGAACCACATCGTCCCTCAAGAAGCCGGCTTATGGTAAAGTTTCTGTCCAAACAGTCGTCCTAATCAGCCTCACAGGCTTCACGCTCGTAGTAACATCTCGAGTTCTCATATAAGAATATCTGCTGATCTACCAAAGCCGGAGCTAGGCGGTTCCTTTTACCAAACAGAGCAGTCCCAGAGGAGTTGAACATCCTGTGACAAGGTACACTGGTAGCAGGAACACACCAGTACTTCTGCAGCACCTTAGAGAGGGTGGGGAACAAGGGCGCATGAGTCGACCACCACAGTAAAGGATCTTCATTCAGACCTAGGACTCTTTGGCATTTGTAGTTGCCCAGCTCCTCTAACACCTGAGCATGCAGCTCTTCCTGGTTCTGTTCTGTGTCAGATTGACAAAATATAGCTGCCAAAGGGTTGTCTTGGATTGAACTCCCGGTGTGTTTTCTCAGAGGCGCCGGCTTTTTGTTCGGTGGTTCGTCACATACCCAGGAGTAATCATCTAGGCACGGTTGCTCGGCAATCTGCTTCTCAAGGATCGCTTTGCACTCCTCAATGATATTACTCTCAACTTTAGAGTGTTCATGAAGTGACAGGAAGGGCAACTTCTTGTACCGAGGGTCCAGAAAGGTAGCAATGTTGAGGAATGTGGAGATTTCCTGCGACAGCTGTGTGTTCCGAGAGTAGGTGGTTGACAGGACCTTAGAGATGACCTCCTTGGTCTTACTGATGTCTTTGAGGTCCCCTTCCTTGACCTTGAGGGTGGTGTCCAGCAGCATGTGAAGCAGGGGCCGAACCATGCTGATTGTTGGGTAACTACAATGAGTGATCATGTTTGTAACAACTTTAAAAGGCTGAAGAACTTTGATCAGGCCATCCAACAAAGACCACTGAGGGCCATCAAAGGTGAAATTATGACTACTGGAACTCTCTCGAAGTGTTGCAGTAATAGCAATTTGTTGCTCTTTCAGCCTTTCTAACATTGCCAGTGTGGCCAACCAAGACCGTGTCCTGTCTGTAATGAGTGCACACTGTGTGAGGCCATGCTGCTTCTGTTTCTCCTTCAGCAGATACAGCGTCGGCTCTTTGAAGTGGTCCACAAGTTTTCGGCAACATGCAAAAAAGCTGTCAACTTGCGGCAGCTGGAAGGCTTCGTCAACGGCACGATTGATGGCATGTCCGAGGCACGGCATCTCCACAGACAGCTCCAGGAGCGAGCACGCTTTGACCACGTCTACTGAACCATTTGTTGTGGCGCCGGTGACTTTGTGAGTTATCCCCCATTCTACAAAGGCCTCGTGCATGGCCCTGGTGATGTTCTTGGCCGTGTTGTCCCCCTGTACTTCAAAGGTTTTTAGACACCGGTTGATCATTGAGAAGCCAATGGTGCAATCATAGTTCACTGAATGCATAGAGAGGGAGATGTATGTCCTGTTTTGAGTTTGGCAATGCCAAAGGTCGGTGGAAACGCCACAGTTCACAACCCCAACCAGCTCACTGAAGACCATGTCCCGGGTACGACAGTACATTTGAGGAAGCATTTTAACCGCCACCTCCCTCTGGCTGGGTAGAGAGTACCCAGGATCGACGGTACTCATCAAGCTCCTGAAAGTAGGCTCTTCAACCAGAGACACGGGGTACAGCCCCTCACAGATGAAGGTGATGACAGCTACTGTGAGATCACTGTGTCGTCTGTTGTCACTCTCTGAGCCCTGTCTCGAGTTGGGGTCCTGGGATGGCGGCTTAGAATGTAGACCCGAAGGCTCCTTCTTTATCCTGGGGATTGCCGTGGCAAACGCCTCGCGCATCTGATCCGTGTTGCTCTTTACAAATTCATTGAACTCCAGAGGGTGGTTCTTTTCTAGGTGGTACGACAGATTGGAGGTGTTTCCGGAGTAGGCGATTTGACTCATACACACGCGACAGTAGATCCGCTTCCAGCGCAAGATGAAGCCGTTAGCATCCGTGTCGAAGCCAAAGTACTTCCACACTTTGCTCTTAGCCCGTGGGTGTGCCACCAGTTTAGGGCCGGTGCACGGAGTTGCGGAACTTTCACCCTCCATTGGTTCCTTTGCTGAGCAATCCACTTGGATTCCTTCACTTATTGAGCACCTAACAAGAATAGTGAAATACACATTTCAGGAGATTGTTAGAAACAACAATTTGTGAAGCTGTGCTGAGATTGGCTTATTAATTCCATCAATATGCTCACAACAAACTATGTCACAGTGAACAATTGGGTTATGGCAGAAATCAGTTGCCTGGGTTACCTTACTGGGCCTGTCTGAGTAAGGCTGTGGTCTGATCTATAAAAACAGGTTTATTATTAGGTACATATATATCTATATGAATGATGTAAGATATGACAGCTCTATGTAATATTCTACCTCCATAAGGTTGATAATAATGTATTTATATTGATATTGTTTAAACTGTAATAGAACAGTCAGCCTCTTAAACCTCGGGATACGCAATAAATAAGCAGTCTCATCGTTATGACATTTCATGAACCGGGTCACTGTTGAGGGCCCGGGAGGATTCTACTGAGAATAAGTATATTTTTGAAAATGGTAAACCGATCCTTTAGAAGCTGGAATTGAGGGAGTAGCAACTTGGATCGGACAGAGCAACAATATGTAGTATTAACGGTCTGTGCCACTGCTGTGTAGGGCTGTCAAGGAATATTCTATATTCGAATATATATTCGAATAGTTAAAAACAAGTCGAATGGCATGCTGTCTCATGCCACGGAAAAGTTCCATGTTTACAACAGCACAGCTCGGTCGGAGGATTCAATGTCGGTACGGTAAAACTTCAATTAACGTTAATAATATTTGTCTCAATCGCTGAATGAAGCCTGCCAAATTTGGGACAAGAGTCGCGACCTTAAATTGCTTGCACAAAACTCTTGATCAGCACTGAGCATTTGTTAATTGTTGTCGTTCATCTAAACCGCTTTGCGCAGAGAGCGTGACGGTGCGGGAGAGAGATAGATCTGCGGTCTTGGCCGTTAGTTAATTTACTTATTTTGTGTGTAGGTAATATGTTGTTAAATATGTTTAAACTTAAAAACATTACCTATACAAGTAGTTATGTCTTGTTGTATTAATTTGTCCTGTTATTGACGTGTCTAATGCTCAACTAAATATTTGAATGTATTCGAATATATGTGGGGGTTTTTAAGCGGATATTCGAATGTCATTTTTGCGCAATTTTGACAGCCCTGCAGTAGAGGTATACAAACATCAAGCTTATAAGTGGTTTGAATAAGTGTCTGACTGGAGTAACCCGACCCAATAATGTCTGCTGTCCAAATTAAAAGGAACAAATAAACCAGAGCTCGGCTGAAAACTGGAATTTTTTGCAGGAAATCACCAGTCACTTTGCATTTATCTTTTAGCCACAACGTTGGCAATTCCTCACGACCAACCAGAATTGATGAAATCCTCTTATTGACTAATCGATGGCGCGCATACTTTGAGGGATTAAAAGTGTTAAAACCCGTTTCACCACGTCTGGAGACAGAGTCTCTAGTCAATCACTTTTTATTTGTATCAAACAAAGGTCTCTCTCATGCAGTAAATCTCCACCAGCAGTCTGAGCAGCTTATGTGTGTGCATAAAAAAGAGCTATATAATTACAATAAGATATCTTCAAAGTAGCAAACCCTAATTTGTTGAGCCTTCTGGCACCAAGTAATGTAACAGAGTTTACTTAACATTCTCAAAAATGAAATAAAACCCAATAATGTAATTGTTTTACAACACACACTTAACCTTTTTTTTAGATCGAAAAAAAGCCCCAAGAATGTGATAATTTAACCAATATTAACCAAACCGATACTACCCGTAAAGTAAACCTGTAGCCCATTATTAAATATTATTAAAAGTACAAGGGTCAACATGAAGATCAGAAATGCTGCCTTCATAAGGACTGAATCAACCTCATCGCTCTCCTAGCAGAGTTAAACACAAATGGTCTCCAGCCTACCTTCAGTCCGGAATCACAAACCCCTGCTATTCAACAATTATTGCGTAAATAAGGTACTGGGATCCAACACAAATGGAAAAGAGAAAAGAAAAAAAGGGTGTTGCAGATTGGAAAGAAGCTTGTTTTAAAAGCTACTCATGAAAAGTGTTTTAGTGACAATGGTGACATTCACTAAAAACATGCCACAGAATGCATTTAACAACAGGCTACATTCCTCAGTGGATTAGTAAAGGAGCCACAATGGATGGAAGTTCTTTGGATTTGATGTTTGGAGCCGTATGATTCTATTTAAGATAAGCTAATCTAAAATGTTAAATCATAAATGTAAAAGAAATTTTAAGTCTAGGCTAATTTAACACTAAAACAGTATAATTCTATAAATACAAAATTAAACATATATTAGTTTCCAACTATGTTGGCTGTCATGAAAAAGACTTAACAAATTGCAGCACTTAAATTGTACTGATAATGGCTCTTATCATTAGCAAGTTGTAGATCAGCTTATTTGATGAAATTGCACTTTCTTGTAAGTCGCTTTTCGCTAAATGACATGTAATGTAATATAATGATATCTAACAAATGAACAGCTATTTCTCAAGGGCTGTGAATGTGTTATTAATTGTTTGAAGACAAACTCCGTTGGGATGTTAGAAACGTTCACGTTCTCTGCAGTGGTACTGCCGTAAACACGGCTTACTCCTCGCAATTATTTGATTATAGGAATTAAATGTATTGTACATCTTTTACATTGTGTACACGCGACATCCCGGGAGAGGAATCCCTCCTCTGACGTTCTCGCCAAGGTTTCTTTCGGGACAGAGGATGTCGCATGCGTACTACTGTTGTCACCCGTCCCTTAAAATACGGAATCCGGTATTTGAGAATAGAATAGCGCGTCCCGTTTTGAATCAACACGGGCCGCCGTTTGTCCCGTATTTTCCGAGTGGTCGTCAATGCAGCATCCCATGCAAATAATCCCACCCGAAGACTCGTCCTACAAAACCAATCAGAGTCAGAGGGGGGCGGGTCTCTTGGCGGAGTGTCGATTTGAAAGAATGGCGGAGGCAGATACAGATACGACCCCCCCGCACCGTTATTTGTAGGTACTAAAGGTGTCAACCCTAATGTGTACAGACTGTAAAGCCCTCTGAGGCAAATTTGTAATTTGGGGATATACAAAATAAAATGAATTTAATTAAATTTGTTCACCTCTCTGTCCTCATCTTCTTCTTCTTCTTCTCAACACCTCACCACTGATCACACCGTTAAACGAGCATCAGATGGAGGCCGAACCCATCACAACACACCGCTGTTATGCAGCTACGCTCGGCTTCTATCGGATATGTTCATTTGCAGATCCATCACGAAGACATAAACAGTCCCATTTCTAATGGACTCCTGAAGCCACATTTAGTAGAGTAACACCGAAAGGGGTCTGACCTGGCAGCGTGAAGGATCTGTTGAACATCTGGTAGATCAGAACTTTGATCCCGCACAGATAGAGTCTGAGCAGCGGCAACAGCACGGAGAACAGCCACATCTTTCTCCCACCGAACGGCTTCCGACTTCCGCTGAGCTTCGCCTGAATGTGTCCGGGTGGGAGTCCGCAGCGAAGCTGTTGGTCCGGAGTTCCGCCTCCAGGAGCGCGTCACAAAGCGGGGAGAAAGTGGGAGAGGCCACCCGAGAAGAGAAGAGAGGTCACGTTTAGCGTCTGATATTCGGTTACTCACAAGCGCGCCGTCTATGAATTGTATTGTAGAGTAATGTGGGCCTGAACCACCCTTCTCTCCTGGTAAGTAACTATGAGAAAACACAAGGTGCTAAACATTGCTATCAGTCTTTATAATGCCTCATGTCTTCCCTCTGAAAATGTTAATATTAATAATATTTAATTGGTGGCAAGTGTATAAGTGATAAGTAAGATATCCCAAAGAGAAGGAAGCAAATTAGGTTATACGTATTTATTAGGTGTATATATAGTGTATACTGACCAAAATAAATAGTTATTTTTAGTTTGAATAGGTTATTTATATTTACATAAATTACTAGATAATAAACTAAACTCAACCTATTTAAACTAAAAATGTATTTTGGTCTACATACACTATATATACACCAAAATAAATAATTTACATATGTATAAATACACATTTGTAATGTGAATAATTCATATTCATACAGAACAAGTGATAAATCATATTGAGCGACCCTTTTTTGAAAGTACCGCTGTCCACTTCCTTAAGTAAACTGACTCAAGACTGACAGTGTCGTCTTATTATAAAACCTTTTTTGAGAAAGTCAGGAGAATATTACTCTTTTATTCTTTTTACCTTATTATTCAAACACAAAACGTAATATTTGTTTTTTCAGACCATGCCTAGCTATTCTTTTGCCTCAACAGTTTCACAGCGATAACCACAAGTGATTGCTTCTTTCTGCAAGTGTGATGTGAAAAATATTCTCTAAACATATCTGGGATTCGACATTCAAATTCCAATGCTTTGGTCAACGGTACAATGCCCGCATGTGTTTGTTGTGACCGGGTTCCTTTATTTGCAGAACATCAGATGTTACTCGACTTGCTTTGCTCATGGGCCATTTATTCAAAACCAGGGGCCAGTAAATAAACCTGATACTGTGTTTTGATTAACAAGCCCCATTATTGTATTTTTGACTTTAGTGTTTCAGTCAGCCACCATATTTACATGTACAACAAATCTCATCGTGAACCAGTTTATTGTCCCTGTGAAATAGAAAATGTTTGTCAGGCCGGCAGGGACTGTTCTGGTTGTGAGTTGAGTGTCACTGCTCACACCATAGAATGAGGCTTCAGTGTCTAACTGGTCCATTTCACATTTAATTCAGCGATAACTGGACCCATTGAAATTACAAAAAATAAAGTGTAGTTCAAAGGTATTTTTTCTGTGAATTGATTATATCATAATGTAGAAATGTGCACTTTAGGCCTGTGTGCTTGTGGCCAGGGTGGCCATTTGAAGGGGAAGACACAAAGAGACATGTTTGAGAAAATGTGGTGGACTGAACTGGATCATATCTGCTAACACTTTCTCAAAGTTTGGATTCCAGGACTTCATATGATCACAGCATGACAGTGTGTATAGTATTCAGCATAAAGATCTTTAAAGAAGCTTTGGCTACAGCTGACAAGCAGTTAAATGTTAACAAAAACAACAAAATCATATTTTTATAGCCGCTTGATACAACATTATTCTTTCTGAGTTTAGTTAGTCATATATTTTTTTTAATTTCATTTCACAACGCAAAACATCCCATAACAGACATGGAAATATATACATACATATATTTCTGTATACATATATACTCTTTGAAATAGCAACTAATATACTAAACTTAGTTGGGTATTATGGATGAAACCCTCATATAAAGCAACCATTGTTCTCATCCAGTCCTAATGTCATTAGTAATGGCAGAATGGCAGGAATTTCCACATTTCTTTGGGAAATAACAGAGCCAGTAACTGGGAGTCATGTTGGGGTCGTCTGATTGGAGACGGACCATCTGGAACGGAGTATATCTGCTAATAAATGATTGGTCCGGGCGTGAGTGAGGCCTTTTAATGCTTGACATTTGAGACCAGATAACATCGGTTATCTACTTATAATAAGCTTGCACTTTTTAAAGAAAAAGGACCACAAAACCAGACAGTACTGTTCAGTTCTTCATACAAACCGTTTTATCAAATACATTGATGCCTTGGGAGAGAAAAAGGATCAACAGCAAGCTTCTTTCCAAAGGGCATACAACAGTTAGTTTTTTCTTCTTTTTCCATTCGTGTTGGATCCCAGTAACTTATTTACACTATAATTGTTGAATAGCACGGGTTTGTGATTCCGGACTGAAGGTAGACTGGAGTAGAAGATATTCAGCGGGTTCACCTGCTTAGCGCACAGCTCAACGTAGCTCTTCCTGCTGCTGTTGGATAGCGACGTTGTTCTGATGCTAACAAGGTTACGGTTTTAAGTCATTTGGTTTCAATTGAAATTATATCAACACAATTTTTCGCTGACTTGGTGTTCACCACATGATGCTAGCATGCATGCAAACACTTTTAGCTAACATTAGCTAGCGCTCCCCATCATCTCATTTTATGTTTACACTGGCGGATTTATTGAATAAATTAAACTAACTTTAGTTAGCTGACGTTAAGTTGGTGTTTTGAATTCCACATAATGGCCCTGTTAATTTAGACTATATCAGTGTTCATTTATTTGGATATAATTAATGATCCATATTATTGGTCCGTGCATTGAGCATAATTGGGTAATCTGCCGTTGAACAATGTCAGATTAGGGTTTTGACTCATTTCAACGGTCTACTAATTTCTCAAGCAAAACTGATTCTTATTTACTAAGAAGATTTTTTGCTTTCTTTAACACATTTACATTGCTATTCTTATGTATATAAAACGTAATTGTTTACGATACAATTATGTTTACATTGATCACAGAATCTATTCAAAATGAATAATGCCCATACTGTTCTTGCCATACTGTTTCTATATCTAATCAACCTATTAGGATGACTTTGTGATGCCACATTTAAAATACCATGAAGATTACAGCGGGTAAAGATGTATTCCTGTTCCTTTGTTTATACATATTTATCCAACCTCACAGTGCAAAATGCCAAAATACAACAATAAAAGCAAAGACAGATAGACTGTCTTTAGATAGACAGAAAGACTAACAAGACGTTAGTGCGGACCATAGGGATATGGTACATGGCATCATGGCAATACTGGTGTAGCTTATTGGTGAGACTTTTTGTGAAAAACCTCTGGCGTGTCCCTGAGCTCCTCTCGGGGTTAAAGTCCCTGCTCATGTCCATGGAGGAGAAAGTCCTTGGAGAGTGGGAGCAGGCACAGCTAACACCAAGGATAGCGGGACCCTCTGACCTGCTTTTATGTAGTAGATTTCAGCAGCAGCAGCAGATGTTCAGCGGCAAACTCTCTCCACCCCCAACTGGAATAGCACAAGAACATCCTGAACTACAAAAATATGTTTTTGAACTTTCAAGGTCTGTGGTTCACACACGTGGTTGACACAAGCTTAAGGTGTTTGAATGTCTTGTTCTTTGCTATACAGTATGGCATGCATACCTCTACATTTTGAAGCTTTTAAGTGTCTTTAAGAACGATGTCACGTCACGGTCACGTCATCATGGGCTGTGTGTAATTGGTTGCTGTAGAAAGGGCCAATCATAGTCAACAATGGTTACTCACATGAAACAACGACACTGAGCAGCTTTTCTAAAATGACTTGTTGATAGAATTGTATTTTGTGATTTGGTCTTTTGACGTCATAATTTTTTGAACGTGACAACACGTCTTGCTTCTACTGGCGTTAAATGGGTCACAGTGTTTTTAAGAGCAGTGTCAGAGTGAAACAACCCGTCATCACAGATGGTTGATTAAGAACCAGCCTCATGAAACCTTCCTTACAAATATTTCATGTGAAATCAATTTTCCTGGTGAAGTAATATTGAGTAGCACTCAGTTTGTGTTGCACCAGTCCATTTGGAGGCGTTCTCCAACATTCCGACCACCGCACGTATGTTCAAATAAAGTACAAATAATTACAAATAACACCGCAGTATGATGCAGTTCAGTACTATTTGAACTGTGACCTATATAAGTGAACATGTGGGTGAATGTTGAAGTGAGTCAGCAGTTGCGTCAACTGTAGGCCAGACGGCTCGGTTCAGCCCGACCCAGCCCAGGTTGACTGGGAAGTTAATCCAGGGACAGGAGGGGCAGTCAAATACGACATAAAACAAGAAATACCCCACACAGAGACAGATAAGCACTCTTATGCTTTATGACATTAATCCTAACACATTAAAAAAACAAATATTATTGACTAATCAAATCAGTAGTATATTAGTATCATACAACTTCTCAGTTGCATGGAATATATTGTATTGTAACTCCCTCAGTTGGAATGCATTATAATATCTTATGATGCTTTACAATCACTATTGTTATTCATTTATTAAAATAAACTACACTGTCCATGTAGGGGAAAATAGGGTTGCAACATTTAGTGTGTTGTTCTTACAGGAGATTAAAAGGTAGTTTTTGATGATGATGCTTGGCAATTTAACGTTCCTCTTGTGTTAGCTTTCTGTTACCATCCCTTGTGTTAACGGGTCGGTTTTGACCCGTGTCTTAAATCAGCTGTAAAATACACTAGAAACAATTATCCATCATCCAATTTGTTTCGCATCTCTTGGTTACCTTGTTAGGCTTCCTTATCCATGAAAATATTGGTTTTAATATTTTTGGTTTGGGCCTGTGGGCCTTTTCTTTGCCAGTATACCCCTCAATTTAAATTTTAAAAAAATTGTAAAATTACCTGACTATTTTTGAGGGGTATTAGAACACATCTCTCACA